TCGTAGTTTGTCATTGGCTGTGGCGAGAGGAAGGCGGGACGTAGAGCCGCTGTGAGCTTGAGATTGCTCGAAGTTGTAGCTCGATGACGGTTGATGCCGAATCCTTCGAATCCGAATTTCCTCTTGGACATGGTTTCCCGAGATTACTCCGACGCTGGAATGAGATCTTGAATTGATCAAGTAGTAGCTGCGCCAGGTGCGAATAAACCCTAATTGACGGGAAGTGGAGTTGAAGCGCTGATGAATTTTGATTTTCAGCTCAAACGGACAGGTCAGTGACGGTGATTCGGATACTGAATTCGATCCGGATCCGGATCCGGCAACTGAGCGTCCGCTATCGATAAGGTGCGTCGTCGGTTTGGGATTGGGTTACGGTTAGGCCCATCCCTTTTTCACAGACCTGGACCTATTGTTTGGCCCAGGAATAAGGCAGACTGAGGCCCACTCATCACCAATGTGCTGCCCTCCTCAGCTCTCCATTTGTCCGTCCGAAAGCGCAAAATTCCGTCGCTGCTGCCGCCGGCCAGCCGCAGTCTATAGAAGGATTTTCGTTTGAATCTCCTGTTGGCCCAGCCCATCACTTGCGGTTGGCGGGGATGAAAGCAATAGGATTGTTGCAGTAGGAGGAAGTAATTGGGTACAGGGGTACGGTTTTGCGGAGATCTGGCGAACGGAAAACCGTTTGAAGATACAACAAGTGATTAGGAGGACTATTAGGCCGCCAGAGGAGGAATTGGTCAATAGAAGCCATTCACCGCCCAAAGGTTCAATTTTTAGGGTGCTTTGCCCATGTTTTTATGGCGGCCGGAGACCAACTCTAGGCTAGACTAGATCAGAGCGATGAGTTGCTCTATCTGGTGCATTGTTATATTCACTAGTTATCAACCCGCGTTCTGCGCTGGGAGGCGTAAAATGTAAGGTATTATTTGTAACTTTTAAAATGTAAGGCATTATTTGTAATCTGCGATTCTAAATATTGTATTCTCAATACATTTTTTCAGTTGATGTAGGTAGACAATGCAAGTAGTAAAAATGCTTGATTTAGAATACACTGTGCCGAAGAGAACGTTAGAACGAAACAGAAGTTAGCTAGTGAAACTGGATCACTAATGAGAGAGAAAGAGTCCATTTCCTTGTCATTCTCTCCCACTGCCAACAATGTCCAACAGCAAACCATTTCAATGGCAAAGGTGCAGGTTTTCTAGCAAAAAACAAACACGGATATTAGTTATGGCATCTATACCTCGATACAAAGCATAAGCAATACTTAAATCAATACACAGTTTTTCAAGCCTTCAAACACCAAAATAGCAATGCAGGTCCAGCACAAACATCAAGTAGAAAGAAAAAAAAAAGAGCAAATAGCAAATGCGGCTAAAGCTTGAGTACCCTTTCCATAAGCTCCAAGATTTATCAAAAAGGCTTCATCAGGAACAATTACATGAAATAAAACACATCAAAAGAATATGCATAAACTTCAATTGATAATTGCCCATAACCAAACTAATCAAAACCTGAAAGATGGATATGACTACAAACTACATGGCTGGTTCTTACAAAACAAATCCAGATTTGTAGCAAAACAACCAGCAACCTCCATAAGATGAGAAAGAAAGCAACAGGCCACAGTTTATGATCCTAAGCACTCTCAAATGCCCTCTATTTCATTCATCTCACGGAGAGCAGAACAGCAGTGGCAACAACAATCACAAAATATCGCCCTTGATTAAAGAAAATGGGGCCAAATTGATGACCAACAACGGAAGCATGGTTGAGAAAATGAGGGGGAAAATGATTGAAATCATAAACAAAAACCAAGGTTTCAAAGCTATAAGATATAGTAGAAGTGATTTACAGGGTGGGTGCCAGTTCAGTTCACGAAAGTTCCAGTCTTCCAGAGATTACACCTATTTTCAACTCTGCAACCCAGGATCGATCTCAAAATGCAAAACAAATGTTTATTTCTAAAAGTAAACATTGGGACGGAAAACAGGGTAGAGGAACAATCTAAGTGTTTCTCAGTGTCACCATTCACCTCTTCAACCAAAGGAAATTGGGATAAGAACATGTCTCACCCTCTACACCTCTTCAAAGCAGCCACTTCGTCAAACTTGAGCTCGTCTAATCTCCCTTTTATTCACCAGACTTAAACACATATATCTTCCATTCACTGCTTTACCATCAAGACTTGCCAACGTCAAAGACCTGCAGCTAACCAACATACCTTATAGAGGAGAAATAATACCCAATGAACTGAAAGGAAGAGAGCAAGAATCGGCAGCTGAAATAAAATCACCAACACAAAGACCGCATGTCCCGATCAATTTGTGTAGTAAGGAAGCTTCGAGATTCAAGCGATTCATCAGGCATAGAACAAAAAACTAACCAATTGCAGTCACCTGCCCTGCAGTAGGAAGAGAGATAAGTCCAAATTAACCAAGACAAAGGTGAGGGAGAAAAAATAGGAAAACAACGCCGACTGGAAATAACCTGGTCTAACCGCCTTTTCGCTGGAATTCGATGAACACCTCTTTGACAATTAACATGTTGCCATCTCCCCTGAAAAGCGATCACACAAATCATTTAAAGGATGAAAGAGAGAGCTAACTCTCTGAGAACAGAGCCTCTAAAAATGTTCATCAAAGACAGAGAGAACAGAGCCATTGGGTATGGATCTCCTCTGAATCGTCACTCAACTGTATCAAAGAGACTGAGAGATCAGGCAGGTCCTCGAGTCGAGGGGCAATATGAAGCCTTCTCATCTTTTTTGCTGGCATCGCCGGTCCTCATTGCGTGCAATGAATTAGAATGAAAACAAAAATCAAAACCATAATAGTCTCCATATCAGAACACAAAGATATAAATACCTGAGGGAAGATATTCAGCGTTACTAGTTTTGCTCCACAGAAAACAAAGAAGAGAATGCAAGAAAGCTCACCCGGAGCCCTCTTCTTCGAGGCTTCCTGCCTTACTTTACGATCTTCAACTCTGTGTAGCTACAATATCCGTTTCCCATAAGTGAATTGATTGTAGCAAACCGAAATCCACCCATCTCCAATTGCCATCGTGCTAAATCTGTTGACAAAACGGCACGGTTTTCTGCCCACAAAGCACTACGACGACGTTTCGCTTCTCTTCCTCCCTCACTCTAAAAATGACACCGTTTTATCAAAGGAATCATCCTTCAAAGTCAACACTGGACTCCTCGATTGCTGATCTCTCAGATCATCCCTCTCGATCGACTTCCTTCTCACGACAGCTCCAGCTTTTCTACAATCCGCTCCACCTCGCACCGGCACTATGAGAAAGCATGATGAAGGCTATAGGGAAGGCTCTTCTCTAGGCAACGGTCTCACCCTTGATCTCGGTATAAATTGTAAGCTCTCTGGTTATTTGAATGGTGTACTTCGATAGGAAATTGTGAGAACTTCTGGGTTTGAATCTCTTTCAATTTGGATCGAAGGGTGAGATTCACTTTAGTAATAGAATCACAGTGTATGGGATTGTACTGGGTGATTCAATCTTGGGAAGTGAGTGTTTTGAGTGTTTTTTCTGTTCGAAAGAGCCAAGTAACTTGGCTTGGCTAAGTCTCGTTGTACTGAATTTGCCATTTGAAATAAAAGCTTCGTTTCAGTTCAATTTCAAGAGAGTCATCAAACACAATCTATTCTTGACTCGCGATCACCACATCTCATACTCTGAGTTTCAATTGGTATCAGAGCAGGCTCTTTGAAGGACTCACTGTCGCCAAAGAGAAGATCCCAAGATGTCTGGATCATCCTCAAACGGTGTTGCATACTCTGCGAATACAAACCCTCCATGGTTTGATGGGACAGACTATACAGTCTGGAAGAAAAGGATGAGGATCTACCTGAGTGGAGTGGATGGAGAACTGTGGGCTGTTGTAAGAAAGGGACCAGTACCTGTGGATGATGAGGATGAAGAAGACTGGAAGGAAGATCAGAAGGTCCTCCTCCCAACTCGACTCAAGAGCCATGCATATCCTGTTCTCTGCTTGTGTCCAGAGGAAAGAAGCCAAGTTGCTCAATGTGAATCAGCAAAGGAAATCTGGGAGTCTCTTCAGACTACCCATGAAGGTACGTCTGAGGTTAAAGAAAGTAGGATAGATGTATTACTAAATGAATATGAATCATTTGAAATGAGTTCAGGAGAATCAATCTCTAGTATGTACAAAAGATTCAATGACTTGATCAACAGAGTAAAAGGATTAGGGAAAGTCTTTGAAACCAAGGATTAGTCAGAAAAATACTAAGGTGTTTACCTAGAGAATGGTTGCCTAAACGTACTGCAATCGAAGAGGCTAAAGATTTAAAAGTCCTATCCATAGAAAGATTAATAGGGTCACTACTAAGTCATGAGGAAAGTCATAATACAAATGAACAAAGATGATCATAGGAAAAGAAAAAGTCATAGCTTTTAAAGCACAAGAACGTGATAGTGACTCTGAAATTGATATGGGAGAGGAATTTGAGAAAGAATTTGCCATGATAAGTAGAAATTTCATCGAATGCTCAAAATGAAAAAGGATTTTCAGGCAAGAAGGTCATTTCATGATTCGAGAGGATTTAACAATAACTCTTATGATTATAAAAGAGATAGGGAAGAAACCGAGAGAACTCCTAGAACAAATGAAAAATATGCATCAAACAGGAGTTATTTTGATAAAAATTCATCGAAATCTTATGATAGACCTCCTGAAAGTCGAGAAAGGTTCAGATTTGATAAGGAAGACGCCAGGTCTTCCAATGAGAAAGATTTGACCATTTGTTTTAAGTGTGGAAAATCAGGGCACATGAGATCAAAGTGTCCTACTAGAGCAAAAGAAAAGGCACTTGCAGCTTCATGGAGTGACTTTAGTTCAGAAGAAGAGCAAGATGTAAAAAATCCGGCGTACATGGCATTTGCCACCAGAGATGAAAGTGATATCAGTCTTCATACAGTCACAGTCCACTAATGCCTTCATGCTACCAGGTAATCTCTGACTCAGACTCAAATATAACCGAAAACTAAAACTGAGTTCTTCTGCATGAGTTTGACTAATTTCCAAGAGGAGTGTAACAGACTCAAAAGTAAATATTGTATGCTTATGACTGATATCAAGCCCAAGAAAGATGAAATTGCTATGTTTAAAAAAGAACCTTGAATGCTCAAAGCGATTGGAATAAGGAGCTGAACAGACAAGTCTTTGATCTCAAGGATGAGAATCAGAGGCTAAGAGGTATCTGGAAAAACAACAGTACCTCCTTAAAACGGGAATCTGGCATGATTAATTCAAGAAATCCATTTCAAAACAGAATCACCATGCATAATCATGAAAAGTACAGAAAGAATACAAGATATCCTGTAGTTTTTACCTGTTCTTATTGCAAAAGAAAAGGACATGTAGCAAAATTTTGCTATGATTTAAATCCCAAAAAAATAAGTGTATCCAAACATTTGGGGTACCAAATGTACTAATCTCTGACTGATTGCAGAATATGGGAGAAAATGAGAACACATGGTATCTTGATAGTGGTTGCTCCCACCACATGACAGGTAAAAAGGAACTCTTTTCTTCCTTAAGCTATAAAAAAAGGAGGTAAGGTTGTGCTTGGTGATGATCGTGTAGGAATCATTATGGGAAATGGAACAATTGGTAAAAGTCCTCTTCCCACTATTAAAGATGTGTTGTTTGTTCAAGGTCTTAAGCATAATCTTCTATCTATTAGTCAATTGTGCAACTCTGAAAATAGAGTTGTGTTTGAGTCATCCTCGTGTGAAATCGTCAGAATTAAGGACAACAAGTGTTGTTCAGTGGAACTAAGAAAGATAATATGTATGTGGTTGCGATTTAAACTGTTTAAGCTCATTTAATGAACATGTTTTCAAGCCAAACAATGTGATCTGGAAATGTTATGGCATAGGAAGCTAGGTCATATAAGTCTTTCCAGATTATCACAACTTTCTAAATCAAAATCAGCTCGTGCAATTCCTTTGTTAAAAGAAAATTCAAATTTTTCTGTGATGCGTGTGTTGGAGGAAAACTGGTTAAGAAGAGTTTTAAACAAAAAAGGGACATCACTACCTCAGAACCATATGAGCTGATTCATATGGATCTCTTTGGACCAACTAATGTGATGAGTTTAGGAGGTAAGTCTTATGCTCTTGTCTTAGTAGATGACTTCTCTAGGTATACTTGGTTTATCTCCTTGCATCAAAAGATGAAGCTTTTTGTTGTTTCAAGAACTTTGTAAATCTCATACTGAATTAATCCAAAAATGGCATTAAAAACCATTAGAAGTGTAATGGAGGAGAGTTCATTTCGGAACAGTTTAGTGATCTGTGTAATGACAGAGGAATTAACCACACTTTTTCAGCCCCTAGAACACCACAACAAATGGTGTAGTTGAAAGAAAGAATAGAACTATTATTGAGACTGCAAGAACTATGTTACTCGAGTATGGAACACCCAAGTTTCTCTGGGGGGGAAGCAGTCCATGACTGCTGTGTATGTAATAAATAGAGTGTTAATCAAAAAAAATTATTAATAAAACACCTTATGAGATTATAAAGCAAAAAACGCCAATCTGGGGTACTTTCATCCTTTTGGATGCAAATATTTTATTTTAAATACCAAAGATCACTTGTATAAATTTGATTCAAAATCAGATCAAGGTATATTTCTGGGATACTCTCTTAAAGGACAGGCATAGAAAATCTATAATCTCAGGTCCAAAAAGGTCGAGGAATCTGTATTTGTTAAGTTTGATGAATCTGGAAATACTAACAAGGTTTCTGCAGAGAGTATAGATCTACTATTTCCTGTATCAAATGAAGAAGAAAAGCATGAAGATCACTGTGAAGATTACCCACAAGAATCAATTAAAAAGAACTCTGGTGAGACAGTGAATGAAGAGAAAATTGAAGAAGAAAGGCAAGCACCACCACACATTCAGAAGAGACATCCCCCTTCACAAATCATTGGACAACTTAATGCTGGGATTCACACCAGAGGTAAGTACCATCCAGGTCAGTATGCTTTTGTTTCAATGTTAGAACCAAGAAATTACAAAGAAGCTTTACTAGATGATAAATGGTTGGATGCTATGCAAGAGGAACTTGTACAGTTTGCTAGGTTACAAGTATGGGAACTTGTTCCTCGCCCTCTTAATAAACTAATCATAGGCACAAAATGGGTTTTTAGAAACAAAACAAATGAAGAAGGGGAAGTCACTAAAAACAAAGCCAGACTTGTTGCTCAAGGATACTTGCAAGAAGAGGGAATTGATTTTGAAGGAATCATTTGCCCCTGTTGCAAGGATCGAATCAATTAGAATGTTATGTGCGTATGCATGTTTTATGAAAATTCCCTTATACCAAATGGACGTAAAAAGTGCATTTTTAAATGGAGAATTAAGAGAAGAAGTGTACGTGAGTCAGCCACCAGGCTTTATTGATCACAAATATCCTGACCATGTGTACAAACTATCTAAAGCTTTATATGGATTAAAGCAAGCCCCTAGAGCATGGTATGAAAAACTCTCCTCATTCCTAAAACAGAAGGGTTCACTCAAGGAAATGTTGATAAAACACTTTTTATTAAGAAAGAAAATGGTGATACACTAATTGTGCAAATCTACGTAGATGACATAGTTTTTTGGATCTACAAATCCATCTATGAGCACTAAGTTCTGTAACTTAATGAAATCTGAGTTTGAGATGAGCATGATGGGTGAGTTATCTCACTTTCTGGGGTTGCAAATTAAGCAATTAGACTCCGGGATATTTATTAGTCAGACCAATTACACTGAATCAATGCTTAAGAAATTTGACATGTGCTCGGTGAATCCTAGTACTACTCCTATGGCAACAAATTTGAAACTAGACAAGGATGAGGGAGGTATTCCATTCTGTGAAAGGAAATACAGAGGAATGATAGGTTCCCTCTTGTACTTAACAGCAAGTCGACCTGATATCCAATTCAGTGTAGGCTTGTGTGCACGTTTTCAATCTAAACCTAAAGAAAGTCACTTCAAAGCTGTTAAAAGGATCTTTAGGTATCTGAAGGGAACCATGGATATTGGACTATGGTACCCTGTAACCGATTCATTTGAATTAATCGGGTATAGTGACTCAAACTTTGGGGGAAGTCTAGTAGATAGAAAAAAGCACAACAGGAACAATTCAACTACTTGGCTCGTCACTTGTGTCTTGGTTAGTAAAAAGCAAGGTGCAGTAGCACTCTCCACAGCCGAGGCAGAATATATGGCTGCTGGAAGTTGCTGTGCACAAATAATGTGGATGAAAGCTCAACTCTCAGACTATGGGTTTAAATTAAACAATATTCAAGTATGTTGTGACACACAAGCACGATAAGTATGACAAAAAATCCTGTTCAACATTCTAGAACTAAACACATTGAAATTAAGTATCATTTTATCAGGGAGCTTGTACAGGCTGGTCACATCGAACTTCAATTTGTTGAAACTGAATATCAAATAGCTGATTTACTAACAAAACCCTTGGCAAGTGAAAGATTTCTCCAACTTTGCACAGAAATAGGATTAAGATCCTTGAGCCGAATTGAAGATCTTTTAAAATAAACATCTCATTGTTTTTCCATATTACATGCATTGGTGCAGAAAGTAATGATTACAAACCTCTAAACCAAAGATCTAATCTTCAGCAAGCGGATTGGGTCTTTTATTCAAAGTACCTTTTGCGTGTCTTGATTTAACCAAAATAAAACGCTCCATTTCGGCTCATGCCTGCCTCGACTAATACAACCCTGCCATAGCTTAATCATTCACTCTAACAAATGCATGCGGAGACTCTTCACCTTCCATCCCTTTTCTACCTCGTTTTTCTCTATAAAAGGCCACAGTAGACATCTCTTCTTCTCACACTGTTTCTAAACACATCCATCTACCATCTTGTTTCCACAAAATATCCAGTCTCCCCACAAAATGAGTGATCACCTTCCTCGACCCTTCCACTTTGATGGTCTGGTACACACATTCTCTGGCTACATGTTCCATGAGCCTTTGGTTGTCAACCATCATCGCTACCTTCAGCACTTTGATAAGCGGAGGCTCCATCATACCACTCAGCTTGACCCCTATGAATTCAACCTCTACAAGTATGACATTGTGTCACTCATTGAAGGTCTTGGTTGGGATTTTCTTCTTCGCCAACCAGTGCACCCTGCTTGTCCTGGTGCGGTCAAATACTTCTACTCAAATCTCAAAAGTCCAGGGATCAGCACTAGAAATTTCACCACTCTGGTATATGGTCATCTCTTGACCATACCAGCTGATGCTCTGAATGGCATCTTAGGCTTTCCATCGCAAGGGCTTGGCATTGCTCATCCTTCTGAATTTTGGAAGCATGAGTTCAAAGTTGAGGTGGAATATGGAAACTTCTCAACTGAGCCAACTGGAGGGTCAGACATTCCTATCCCTGTATCCTGGCTGCCCCCAAGGCTGAGGATCTTTCATCATTTCCTCACTCATGTCCTCTTTCCCCGATCTTTCAACCAAGACCGAGTCCTTCACATGGACTTATGGATTATCGCTAGTGCTACTGCTCGACGAAAGCTGGATTATTCGAGTATTGTGTTTGGACAACTTCTTCCTGTTGGGGATGACAATTACAGAGAATTAGTACCATTTGGGTCGCTAATCACTCGCTTACTGATCAACCTTGGAGTAGATCTTTCTGAATTCAGGAGTGTCTCTTCCACTATGTACATCAGTGCACTCAATGTACTGATGGTACTGGATCTTCCCACTGACATCTCTCCCCCTCCTCATCCTTCTACTTCTCTCCTCGGGCCTCCTCCTAAGCCCTCTGCTGTCAAGAAAACCAAGTCAGTGGGTGAACCAAGCAAAACTGGGGATTTGGTCTTCACCATTTCTGAAGGAGACTCTTCCTCAGATGAATCTGCTGCCACTGCTCCTGCTTCCTCTCCTGCCTCTTAATTCTCTACCTGTTTCTCTGTTGTTTAATATATCCTGTTGGTAGGATATGTTTCTTTAAGTTAGGATGTTCCTTGTTCTAGTTTTTGTTCTGATATTTTGTTCTGCTGGTCCTCTTCCAGGACGCAGTCATGCTGTACTTTTGCTTTCCTATGAATGAATTCCTCTTTTCTCTGGATCGCTTGTGCTGCTGTTTTCTGGTGTTGTTTTTGTTTTTGCAGGAGACTTCTCGGATGAAGGGGGAAATTGTTGACAAAACGGCACGGTTTCTGCCCACAAAGCACTACGACGACGTTTCGCTTCTCTTCCTCCCTCACTCTAAAAATGACACCGTTTTATCAAAGGAATCATCCTTCAAAGTCAACACTGGACTCCTCGATTGCTGATCTCTCAGATCATCCCTCTCGATCGACTTCCTTCTCACGACAGCTCCAGCTTTTCTGCAATCCGCTCCACCTCTCACCGGCACTATGAGAAAGCATGATGAAGGCTATAGGAAGGCTCTTCTCTAGGCAACGGTCTCCCCTTGATCTCGGTATAAATTGTAAGCTCTCTGGTTATTTGAATGGTGTACTTCGATAGGAAATTGTGAGAACTTCTGGGTTTGAATCTCTTTCAATTTGGATCGAAGGGTGAGATCACTTTAGTAGATAGAATCACAGTGTATGGGATTGTACTGGGTGATTCAATCTTGGGAAGTGAGTGTTTTGAGTGTTTTTTCTGTTCGAAAGAGCCAAGTCACTTGGCTTGGCTAAGTCTCGTTGTACTGAATTTGCCATTTGAATAAAAGCTTCGTTTCAGTTCAATTTCTAGAGAGTCATCAAACACAATCTGTTCTTGACTCTCGATCACCACATCTCATACTCTTGAGTTTTCAAAATCTCTGCTGAGAAGTAATAAAAGTAAACCCTTTCTATAAATGAACCAATAAAAAGAACAAAAAAAATCACGAACTACAGAGAGAAGGTAGGAAAAAACTGGAATAGCACATGTGGATCTAGGGATTCTTCTAATCCTCTCCCTCGTGTTTTCCCCGCAGAGTCGAATTCGTCGGAGAAGATGTATCAATTTTATGGGTGAACTTGACCCACCGCCTCTCATCCGACCTTGGCATCACCACAGTAGTCATCTCTTTTCTCCATCGTTGCTGCCTGTCCTCAAATCCCGCCTCAAATCCAGCCTTCCTGCTCCTTATCAGTGTTGTCGCCTCACTGTAGAGGTTCCTCATGAACCAAAGAATTCAACGATATTCTCGCAGCTGAAATAGCAAAATAGAGCAAATCCGTTAAAGCGAATACAATCCAGGAGATTGATGAGGCACGACCAAAACCCAGAAAGAAAATACGAACTGATTGCTTACCGACGAAATATTGCAAGGAACCCTTTCTTAATTGACCTTTTCTCCGCTTAGATCATATGGATTTGATTCACCTAGCGAGCAGATAAACTGGAAGAATCCTCTACCATGGACAGAGAGAAAAGTAATTGAATCCATCTATCACCTGGTCATGGTGGAACTCCAAATCCCGCTGAAAGCAAACCTCGTCGGCCAAATCTCCTCCAAAAAAGTCACCAAACAAAGCAGAGTTGGAAAAAACCCCATAAAAGAGTAGAGTGTGGGGGGGGGGGGGATTAGAGAGGAAGGCACAGAGAGAGCAAATAATCACCTGAAATCAAAACAGAAGGCGCAGATCTGGCTCTTGTCCAAACGCTCACCAGATCCCCCAGTGGCCCTCTGATCGAACCGGCGGAATTGAGAGAAGAGACTAACATCGTGGTTCACACCTGCCCTTCTCTTCGTCCAAAGAAATTAGATACAGAGGAATAGGGTCGGCGTCGATCGAAGCGTCTGACGGAGCTCCTTCTTCGGCAAGCTGGCTGCTTCATCGCGGATTTTGGAGATTCTGACGGTCACAAAGAGAGCAAGAGAGAAGGAGAAGATGGTGAGAAGAGGTCAGAGAAGGAGAAGAATTGGGAAAAATGGCTGTTTGAAGCGAAATAGGTTAGAGAAGGTCAGAGAAAACAGAGTGAGCAAGAGAGAGAAGGTGAAAAGGAAGAGTGGTTTCAGATCTCTCCTCTCGACTAATTGATCGGGAAAAGGCTTCCTCTTGCTTCCTGACATCTCGAGACCTTCACCATCTTTTTTCCAGCAAGGTTGAGTCACCATCCTCAGTCTCGCGCCGCTTCATTGGGCACTGCGCCTGTAACTTCTTTGCGATGGATACACTCCTCCCAAACAGCAACCTTATCTCCTCACAGTGGTGGTGAAGTTCCCAAAAAATCTCGGGCATAGGGAATCACATGCCATTTGAAGGAGGGAAGGATCAAGAGAGAAAAAGTGAATATGAAGGGGGATTTGAGGGCAATGCGGCACTCACAGAAACAACGGTGGGACCCAGACACAAGTAACCAACCAATAAGAAAAGGCGGCCGGGACCCAATCGCAGAGCATGAACCAATCATACGGAGGTGAACAGTAAAATTGAGTCTAAAATAGTAATTTTGTGTCTAGGCGAACAGTAGATCATGTATTTGCAAATAACTTTTTTCAATTTTTGTTTTGTTTCTTTTAGTTTCGGGAAGTCACTCTGTAGTACCTAGCAAATGGTTTTAAGTTCTAGGGCGAAACAAATTGGATGGATGGAAAATAAACGAGTGTATAGGATGACTTGGTTAATAATTAAGGTTGATGATGTTCTACTTCTTTTATTAGTCAATTGACATTCTTTTTCACTCAAACGCAGTGGTTACTGGCTTACTGCGAGTGACGTAGTTAGGATTATATTCAAGAGGGTGACATAAAAAAATTATATACTTGTGCTTTACATTGTGTAATTATTCTATAACTATGTGGATCGGCCAAACTATCAAGATTTCATACTTAATATAACCTACTGAATAACCATTCACAATTTTAATTCACTAGATGCGAGGCTGATAAATCGTTTCATAGCATAAAATGTTATCAACTTGTGCATTGACAGATGATAGTAGCAAATCGAATCTATTTTTCACTAGCAAATACATTGATATGAACTAATTTTCATGTAGAAATTAGTAGATGAAATTAATTTATTAGCTTGTTGTGCTTTAACGGTAGAAGATTTGACGATTGACATTGAAATTTAGGATTTAAATATCATCATTAACTAACTAATACTAATAATATTTTTTCGACAAAAAAAATACTACTAATATTTGTGTTTTGTCCAAATCTAAGCGCCCCCTTATTACACTCTAGCTATGCCCCTTATTAACCGGTACCTTTTTCTATAATTTGGTGGTTAATTTGGATAATTGGTTTGGTTTGGTCAAATTGTTTAGCTTGTTTGGTTTAGGTGGTTTGGTTTCAGACACTCATAACCAATGAAACCAAATTAATCAGTTAAATAATTTGTCATATATCTAATATATATTATATACACGTATTATTCACCCAACCCTCAAACATTCCTCTATTTTAGGCTCATAAAAGAAAATAAAGCTTAATATTGTTCTTATATTGTATATCTGTATTTGTAGAGTGTAGACCACAACATAAAGGGTCGGCGTGCCAATAGGGTAGCCCATTTAGTGGCTCGTAAGGCCCTCTCTCTGTACCCGGCTATGTACCGTCACTTTGATTTTCAGACCTGGCTGATCTCCAGGATGTAACTATCTTTTTGATCTATTGTATGATTACCTTTTGTCAAAAAAAAAAAAAAAAGACCACAACATAAAGACTTCTAATTTAGTTAAAACTCATACATTATATTGGATGAAAACTTGAAAATAAGTTTTATTCATCCTATGATAATTGCTAAGAGACTAGGTCAATTCACACAAACACATTAATTCATTAACTCCATACAATTGCATATAATTTTGTTAGGTAAATACTTCTATTGACTTTAAGATAATTGTTTTAGCTTCACCTTTTTATGTTACGGTTTAACTATAACTATGTGTTGATTGTTATGTTTTTCATTATATAAATTGCGAATTAATGCATTAATCGGAGAATTTTCTCACTCAATAATGATAATATAATTTTAATTGGTAATCCTGGTTATCAATTAAATAAACCAATTAGACTTTAATTTGAATAATTTGGTTGTTGCATTAGTTTGGACGGTTTGGTTATGATATTATATTTCATGATTAATAGAATTTAAACTTATTTGAATTTCTAATTAGCATGGTAACCATTTTAACACCCTAATAATTTCACTACAAAAGGGAGTGTGATACCGGTATTGTTGGAAAATATTTTTTCTTTTATTAGTCAATTGAATTCTATGGATCACGATAAAAACCTTCTTTCTTGCTTTAAGTAGTCTATTCCTTCACATTGTCGGTGGTAACCATGGTTGTCAAACCGATTTCCTGTCGCCCGGTTCAACTGGATACAACCGATACCGGTCACCAAAATCGGCTGGAAAGAAACTGATATTTAAGTGTGGTCAAATTAGTTCAATGCCGGTCAAATCCGAAAATTCCGGCCGGTTAGACCAGCAACCGGAATTCAATGTTACACACATTATATCCAAAAATAAACACCTTTCATAAGATTTTTTTTTTTGATGGTTACCTTTCATAAGATTTGAACCAATTACCTCATGTTCATTTTATACACTTTTATTTTTAAGTATCTAATTCTTTAGTATTAGCTACCAATTCTTAGCTATAAATAATTTTGTGTGAAATAATTCTTCTAATTGCTTTTTCATGAATAATTTATTTGGAATTGAGAATTTCCATTTTTCAATTTATTTTATTAAAAAACCGCATAACTTCCATGAATACTGGTTATACCACAGTCGGACAATTCCACTTGTAAAACCGGTACACCGACATAAACCGGTTTGACAACCTTGGTATGAAGTTATAATTATTTTAAGGGTTAATTCCCTAGTTTGGCCCGAAGTTTGGCATAAGTTACAGTTGTGACCCGACTTTTCGAATAAGACAGTTATGGCATACTTTTCAAACTATTGGACAAATGTGGCTCAAAATTTTCTTTGACCGTTAATATTGATGGTCAAACACTATTTCGCTAGTGACTCATCAAAAAATAGCTGATGCGGCTTGCCACATCATTAAATAATATTGTTTTAATTTTGTTATTCGGTTAAAATAAAAATAAGATATAAAATTGAAGCCCTCTTATTATCCAAAATCCCCAAAGCCCATCCAAACTCTAATTTCATTTTTTTTCAGCCGCCGCCACTTTGTCCTCCCCTTTCTCCTCCTCGCAGTCGCCACCACCGCCAAGATCCAAGCCTTGACCGCCTTCCAGCTCGCCCTCCACGACCCACTCGGTGCCCTGGATGGCTGGGACCCTTCCATCCCACTCGTCCCTTGCGATTGGCGCGGCGTCACTTGTTCTTCCTCCAGCCACTCGCCCAGCTCCGCCGCCTCAGCCTCCACTCCAACAACTTCAATGGCTCCATCCCTTCCTCCCTCTCCCGCTGCTCGCTCCTTCGCGCCGTTTATCTCCTGCACAACTTTCTCTCCGACGAGCTCCCGGCTTCCATCCTCATCAATCTCCAAATCTTCACCGTCTCTCACAATCTCCTCTCTGGGATAGTTACTAACGGAGGAGGAAGAAAGGGGATAAAGAATGAAAGGGAAAGGTTTGCTTGTGGTGGACCATTCAACTTCCCTTTTCAGTGGCGGATACATGCATGGTTAAAATTTGGAAACACGATTATTCAACCTACGATAGTAATTTGCGTATGAGGGGAAAAAATGTTTAAGTGGTAGTGGGACACCTTTAAAATTTGGGAAAATAATTATCCAATCTCTCGTAGTTTGCGTATTGATACAAATAATATTTAAATAGTAGTTTATGTGATTTAAACTTGGGACACTGCCACTATTAGTTAATTTATGTTCAATTACGCTAAAAATCATTTGTTATTGTGTTTTAGATCCAAATATAATAGTAAAATGTTATTCTTATCTCAAATTATTTTCAAAACCTAATGATTAAACTCAATTACGGGATATCCTTGTTTAGTAGTATAAAC